AAAAAAGAGACACCTCATTTCATATGCCTATAAACCATACTCTACGTTGTACGTTGTACAAACTCCGTTCCTGGTATGAACAGATAAGCAAAAAGCATGATCGTCAGCTAATCAAATTTTAATGGAATGATCTAGAATCGATTTCCATTTTGGTAATGTGCATGACTGAAGTGTATTTATTTACGTACTGTACGTACAGTACATACATACATACAAGAATAATGTCAGCTCTTAAAATTATTTCACACAATTTCCCGGCTTCTTTAAAGCGTGAAGCACCAGGAAAAGGTGGACATCTTCGAATCGCAGCAAATTCTTATGTGACAACAACCATTGACACAAAAAACAATGATGGTAAAATATCTCTTGTATTTGCACATGCTACCGGATTCCATAAAGAATTATGGAATCCTATAATAAAAATGTTGCATGAAAGAAGACATCGATGGAACGGTGGAGATATGTGGGCTTTGGATTGCTCGAATCATGGAGATAGCGCAGTGTTAAACCAAGATGTTTTGCCTGATAAGTGTAAGTTTTCTTAGCTTGTTATTTACTTATTTATTTGTTTATTTTTATTGAAATTTAATTGAATCATTCAATTCAGTTATATGGTCCGACTATGCTCGAGATATCCTTCAACTTATTGATGACGCGAAAGTTCAAAAACCAATTATTGGTATAGGGCATTCGGTCGGTGGAAGTTCCATGTGAGAGGTTTTTCTATTGTATTTTTATTAATTCTATGAATAGTTGTCATACTTTTTTGCTGCTTTAAAAATTATAAATTACGTGATAATTATAGGTTAAAGGCTGAAATTATTCGTCCTGGCACATTTGCTAGCATTTTGACCATTGAGCCTATAGTTAGGCCTCATATCCTCCAAGAATTTAAATTTCAAGATACAAGTGTTAAAAGAAGAAGAGATAGATGGCCGGACAGGTAAGAATACTTGTGAAAATTTAAATCACACGAATGCTAAAATTTATATATATATATTTATTTATTGATTTCATTTCGATTGATGAGCATTTTTCATAAATTTAACAGAGAAACAGCACATACTAGTTTTAGTACAAGCGAATTTTTTCAAAGTTGGGACTCTGAAATGCTTAATCTCTATGTTGTAAATAATAACCATTTATATATACATAATCATTTTTAATTTAAAAATTCAAATTAATGATTTATGAATAATATAGCAATATGGATTATATGAATTACCATCTGGAGAAGTTACTTTAAAATGTTCTAAAATTCAAGAATTGGTAAGTTTTTTCTTTATTTCTTTTAGTGTAAAGCAAGGCTTATTTAAATTTTATTTGTGACATTAGTATACATTTGTTTACGATTCGGCAGAAAAAGTCTCTACATTTCATCAAATGTCGAAAATTCAATGTCCCACTCTATTTGTAGTTGGTGATAAACCAAGTTTCGAGTAAGCATTATCAAAGAATTGCTTTTAGTTAAGGTGATACTTATTCTTAATAAATACGGGTTTCCCTTCATAGTAGTAAAGATATGGCACTTCATAGATCATCACAATGTCAACATAGTGAACTTATATCTATAGATGCAGGTCATTTGGTTAGTTGACATATTTTTTCTCCTAAATATTTTATCACAATCTTTTAATGTTGATTTAAAATTTATACAGGTTCCAATGGAAAAACCTGCACAAATTGGTGAGTCACTCAAATTATTAATATTTTGCCAACTTTCGACTATTACTCATTATAGTGTTATGCCCATAGCTTACATAATCGAATATTTCGCTCGCAAGTTTTTGAAAAATAATGGATTGCTGCAAAAAAATCAATCCGAAAACAATAACCTATGTCCAGTTCGGGCCATGTTATAATTAGAGAAATGCATAAATTATATATTGTACGTTCATAAAAATATATCCTTTTTATTTGATAACAAATATACAAACTTTTTTTAAAAATTTTATTAGAAATATAGAAATACGTAATGAAAATTTTAGTGATCAAATCACAAGAACGTAGTGAAACGAAAATCATGTTTCCGGTTGGATGTTATAATATTAATCTAAATGCAACTCGTAAAAATGGAGTTTCGGCAACATGCATTTAAAGAACAAAGTATAATTGCAATTATATAGAACAAATATATATTTCGGTGTTCAAAGTTGGGATTGGGTGCTACACCGTAAAAGTAAACAAGTGAAAAGTAATTTAATCTGATATTTAACTCTTATTGTAATTAAATCCAAAAAAAAAAGGACAGGAACATAGTGAAAAAGAGTGTATAAACCGTTAGCAAAATCTCTAATCTGGTTAGCTAAGAACGTTTCTTACTATGCTACGCTTATTCTCTTTCGGTTTTTTTTTTCATTGATCTATGGTAATATGAGTACGCCTAAATGCTAATCAGCGACATATAATACGAAATTGAAAGCATATATACTTAGTGATGGGCAAATCGCAGTTTTTTAAAAAATCCGCGCGGGATTCGCGGAATATAGTAAAGTTTTTTAATTTTTCATGAATTATAAAAATATACATAAAGATGATCACTAGAAATATAATTTCTTGTTAAAATAATATATTTTAAATACATTTAGCACTCCCTTGTTTATAATCTGGGTCTGGTCCAAGTTTTTTTCAAAATGATGCCAAATCGGTTTATTAATACCCATGTTATAATAATATTGTTTAAAGAATGACTTAATAATGGTTATATTTATTATAACAAGGAATAGTAAGAACTACAAGTTCTACATAGAAATGCAGACTGGATAAAACAGCCACCCGAAAAAGTTTCGGGCATCTCATGACAAACATATCGAGCACTAAAAATTCATGTAAAAAAATATTTTCACCGATTTAAACTTGCGATGATTTTAATGAGTGATGGACAAATCGCATTTTTTTAAAAATCCACGTGGGATCTGCGGAATATAGAGTTTTATGAATTATAAAATTATGTATAAAGATTATCATTATAAATATAATTTCTTGTTAAAATAATATATTTTAAATAATTATTTCTTATAAATCTATTGCATTTAACATAAATAAAAATACTTATATAGATTTTGCCTATTTCTAAAACATATAAAACATTTCTTAAATAACTTAAGTTTAAAGTATTGAATTTTATAACTATATATTTTGTTAATTTAGATTTTATCTTGAATAAATTAAAAAATATTGTCAATTGTGATATTGTCAGAAATACTATATCTTAAAATTTACTAGTTAACATATTAAGTAAAAATGTTTAAGACTTTCAAAAACTAACTCTAATAAAGATTTGAATTTTTATATCTAATTCTAACTTTGATCCAAAATTGCATTTTACCTTTAAGAGTAGAGTACATGTAGATCATTTGTTATATGATTTGCAAAGTAAATTTAGATTTATGTAGTAAGCAAAAATATGATATTAATAAAATTTTTTAAAAATGTACTAAAATTTTATTAAATTTTTAGAATATATAAATTAAAATAGTTTATTTATTATAATAAAAAATTATAATATATATTAATTTGAAAAAAACTATACTTTTATATATCATAAAAGTCTTAATAGTAAATCCAAATTCTTGGTAGTAATATTCTGATTTGTTGATTATTATATGATTATTATATAATTTTTATAATATATTTATAATACCAAATCTTTAAATAAATTTATCTCAATGAATTTTAGTCTGAATTTAATAATTCTACTATTATTAAAATCACAAAACTTTGCTTTACAATTTTGCTTAAAAGTTTAAAAACAGTTAAGTTAATGAAAATACTTTTAAATACCAAAATAAAAATTTATAATTTAAGTTATATGACAAATAATCTACATGTAATTTATCTTTAAATTTGATAAAAGAAATAAAAAGTAGTAGTATCATTACTAGTAATAAATACTAAAATTATAAATTAAATTAATTAATAAAATAATAATATTTAATAAATAAAAATTAAATTTAAAAATAATATACTTGTTTTGGTATTAAGATGAGGCCTTATTCATATTTTTATTAGTAATTTTAAAGTTAGTAACTATGTAAAGTCATTATATACAAAAATAATTCTATATAAATGTTATAGCTAAAACTAACACTTGCAATTAGAGCTAACTATTAAACTGCTAACTATATAACTAACTTAAGTATATATAAAAAGAAAAACTATATTCAAAAATAAAACTCTTATATATTTATCTGTGACCTAAAACTACTAAAGTAGTTAAGTCTTATTTAGATTTAATAGTTAAGATATAATTAAAAAAATATTATATTTAATTCAGAGAATTATTTATATATTAATTTTCTAATAGCATGACTGATAGGTAGGTATATATTAAAATTTGAGTATACTTAATTGGGTAGTTTATATAAATATAAGTATGTATATAATTAATGATTGTATTTAGTTTGTTTATTATAATTGATTTGGTTATATGTTTAGAAAAAAAGACTAAAACCTTGTTATTTTTTCTAATTTGAAAAGTTTATACAATATAGTTTTCAGAATAGTTTATGATATAGCTTATTAATTTTGAGAAGTATTTTAATAATATTTTGTAATGCTAATTTGTAAGAAATATTAAGGTTTTAAATTACTTAAATTAAAGATTTGGATATAAGTTTTTTAAGTATGATGTTAAGATAGAATGAGTTTGCATTAAATAATATATGCAGAAAAGTTTTGTAGTTTTGAATTTTTTGGATAAGTTCTTTTTGTTAGAGTTTAAAGAGATCCAGGTTGCTTTGACTAAGGTGTTTAGAAATAGTATTTTGTATAATATTAATGAGTAATATAAAGTTAAGACATATTCACCAGTATGTTGAAGTGTTAGGTAGATTATTGTAGAAGCAGTTTGTATTATAAAATATGTATAAGTATGTTTTATAATAGAAAAAGTGTATGTGTAATTTATTTAATAAAATTTTAATTTTAAAGAATTTGAAATGATTAAATTTGAAGTTGGTTATATTATATATAAGTTTTTGGTTATAGTTAATATATAGTTAAGTGGATCTTCAATCTATTTCTGAAATAAGTTGGTTTTATTTTTAGTTGTATTTTTAAAATGACTATATTGTCATAATATAGAATTTGTAAATATTTTTAATAAAAATTCTAGTAAAATATTTTATAAAATTTTGGTTTTAAAATAACATATAGTATAGATTATAAATATTGGTGTAGTTGAAATATAAATTATAAGAAAGATTGTGTTGTTTAGCAAGAGAGTTAGAAAGATTGTTTAAATTATTATCAATATGGGCTTGCACTTTATAAAAGTTGATTTATAGATTATAAGATTTAATGATATTTAGTAAGTTATGCCATATAAGCCATATGTTAAATTTGAAAAGTTTGTTAGAATTAGAAATTATAATATAAATATTAGAGTATTTAGTGATAATAGATTGAGAATCTGTATAGATATGACTATTATATTTCAGAGTATAGTAGCAATAGCTAAGAGAATAGCCAACAGTTTTGTTTTATAAGGTGATGGCCAAAAGTAAATTTTGATAAAAAATTTGCAGATAATTTGATTATTATATTAACTTAGACCTAACCAATGCCTATTGTACATTGGTCAGTTCTAATGTTAATTATTGAGCTATCAGTATAAAAGTTAAATTGTTGCTGAAAGCTATTGAGAATCAAATATTATTCAAGTATATTAGCTGATTTATTAATTTTGAATTTTAAAGATATAAGAGTTAGGAATTGAGATTGTTAAAGCTGAAGGAATTAATAGTGAGTGTTCAATGGTTGTTAAATAAATAAGGTCTATTAAAGCTAATTTTTTCTAAAAATTAAAAAGCAATAATAGTAGATACATTGATTATATATAAATTTTGGATTCAGTTGAAGTTTAGATAACAGTTTAAGCAAAGTAAATATTGAGTTGGTAGAAGAAGATAATAGCCAGATTAATTTATATTAATATTTGTTTATTAGTATGTAATAGATATTTGGTTAGTGTTTTTGAATTGTCTACAGATTTTACTAATGATAACCTTATTGTTAGTATATATAAGTAGCCAAAGTTTAAATTTTTTAAAGATATGTTGTGAGTTGTATACAAATAGATTATATTTTAGTTGTTAATAGTATAGAAAAAAAATTCTGTAGCTATTGTGACCCATTATAGTGTCTTTTAAATAAGTAAACTATAATGGTTTTTAGTCTTTAGATAGGTGTGATAGTTGAAATAAAAGATGTTTTTATTTAAATAAAATGATGTTGTTAGCTGTACAAAGTTGTTTAAGATATAAAATGTTAAAATTTCTAATTTGTTTTTTAAAGCTAATATATTAAGAATGTTGAGATAAAATTAGTTTTAGTAGTTAAAGATTATATAAAATAGTGTTTGGCAAGAAATATTAGAGTTGGTTGTTATAAATATATTTTGATGTATTAGCAATTGAATAATTTTAAAGTTTAAAGTATGTCTGTTGGAACTATTAATAATAGAGTTGAGGTGTTGGAATATGTTAATAGTTGACTATAGGTTGTTTTGAAGCTGTTGCAGCCTAATATATATTAAGATTTCTAGCAGGTTAGAGTTGTTAATACATAGCAAATATTAGTAATATGATGAGTTAAGCATAGTACAATTGAGAATTAAATATACTAAATAAGATTTGTATTTAGTTATTGTTAAATATTTAGCAAAAATATTGTTGCATATAGAATAGAACATAACAATATTGTGTAATCTATATTCAAATATAGATATAATAACAGTGTTAATTATATAAATAATTTGATTATCTGTAATTTTTTTTGTAATAGCAATGTTTATAAGTTTAAGTAGTTTTTTTTTTAATAATCATGATTTATTAAGTTGTTAGTTATTAAATATAAACCA